TATCGTTTTGGGTGTTTAGGAATTGATTTGTTGAAAACAGGCATTCGTCAGTGAAAAGGATGTCGCTGTGCCGTGCCTGCGAAAATCGCTTTAAACGCTCCCTAAATCTTTTGAGCCTAGTTTTCTTCATGCGCTTAATTAGCATGTGAGCTTTTCTGATCTTATAAGAGCGAAGTCGAAGGTGGCTGGTGACAATCCTTCCGACAGATCGAGCAGAAATTCCGACCTCAACGACCGTTTATCTCTCGGACCTACAAGGGTTGCGGCGGATTTTCGCTCGCATAATTTTCACGATCTCCTTTGTCGTTGCACTCTTCAGTCTTCAACTTTTGGGCTTGTCCTCCATAGTTCCTGTCGCCTTGTACCTGTTGACGTCGTTGTACACGATTCTTAAGGGAATCTGAAGCTGTTTGAAGATGGTCTTTGCCGTGCATTCAGCCAGATGGAGGTGCAGGATGGAGGGTCGTTGGTCTTTGCCTGTCACTATTCTGTAAGATGGCATATTCAAGAACGGCTAGTCTATGGAATGTATAGAAGAAGACTTGCAGTAAATAGTGGCACAGATCCTCTCGAGATCGAAGGCCTCAGTTTTTATAGGGAATCTGAAACGGGTCTTTGCCAGAACTTTTGCCGCACCCTGTATGATATAAATGCTGACTTCAGTTCAACCTTTTTCAGAGAATCGTCGGCCATTCATATCATCAGTCATCTTCTAGAAGAGCATGCTCAAATTGCTGTCTATGACCCCAAGGTGAATGTTTCTTTGAGTTTCACTTGAAAGTCTCATCCGCTGAGGGTGACACGTATGGGGTAGATGCAGTCCATAGGTTCCGTTGAGCGTTAATTTAATATCAGTTCGGGTCTGTTAACCTTAGGGGTTCAGGTATCCTTGACCCGAAATTGGATTGCCTCGAGTTTGAGTACTGTAGGTACCTGGGCCTACTCAACTACAACTTTTGCTGTTAAAATACTCCAGTTCAAGTCAGGTTCACACACACTAGAAGACCCACTCAGGGATAGTTTCAAAGATGGTTCGGGCACCATATGATATAAATTGGCATCTTCATCATTTTCTGTATTGCCATACTCCATATATTGGGTTGTAACATAAGTTCGTAGATTTTTGCGTTGGAGTTATTTTGCAACGATTTGTTTTGTTTTTCAGCAAAGTGTATACATTCATTCGAAAGAGCTTTTTCTCCTCTACAAAACTGTTTTATCCGTTTTTTGGGGATTTTAACTGTTCGTCTTTTTTCTGGCTCAGAAATGGAATATATAGGAGGAAAAAATCAGCATTTTCGACATCTGCTTTTCTTGCCGAAACAGCTCGGGAGATATGCAGTGTGTACAGGGAAGGTGTCTTACATAGGTGTGTCTACTGCACAAAAATGGTTCGCAAAGCTTGAAATAGGCGACTTTGAACTTGAAGACACGCCTCGAAGCGGACGACCTGCAGAATTCGACCAAGAGCGTCTGAAGGCACTATTGTAGAAAGATGGTCGCCAAACAATTCGTGTATTGGCTGGTTATTATAATAACTTATTTAATAATTTATTCCTGCAATTATTGCTTTTTGTTCAGAGAAATCTTTGTGAAAAACTCTACGAACTTATGTTACAACCTAATAAATATGCCTCATTGATTTATTTATCTATTTGTACCTTTTGCTACACCTTATGGTTAAGCTTTATTTATTAGATCATCCACCGTATAGCAACATCTAGATGTAACTTCGACCGTAAATATTAAAAAGTGATCCAGTATAGTAAAATGCGTTTTGTTGCAAATGCTACGATAACGAATTTAAAACGCGCGAACGGTACATTCAGAATTACGATAGCACTCAAATGGTGTAATTACACTTCAGACACTATAACTCTCGGTTATTTTTTAGCTATATCAGTCAACCACTCTCCTCTATTCCTGTACTGTTTGCAGGTCACGGAAACACAGATGAGGTGGGAGTTAGAGCAGCGATCACCCGCAGAACTAGGTGAGTTCACCTTGAGATCTAGGAAAACTTAAGAATTCGGGTTTTAGAGTCAGATAATAACTGATTTTCAGTCACAAAATTGGTGACGGTACATGATAATCCCTACTCGGCTGCTGATGATGCTCATGCTATTGTCGTTCTGACTGAATGGGACGAGTTCAAGGTAAGCTCCACTAAAGTAGTTTCCAAAAGTTTTTTTTTTCATGATTAACGAAATTGTCCGCTCCAATACGCAATATGAGCGGGGTCTTAAAAGACGCTTGTTAATNGATAATAACTGATTTTCAGTCACAAAATTGGTGACGGTACATGATAATCCCTACTCGGCTGCTGATGATGCTCATGCTATTGTCGTTCTGACTGAATGGGACGAGTTCAAGGTAAGCTCCACTAAAGTAGTTTCCAAAAGTTTTTTTTTTTCATGATTAACGAAATTGTCCGCTCCAATACGCAATATGAGCGGGGTCTTAAAAGACGCTTGTTAATGGGGAGTAACGGTTTCCTTTTGGCCGAATCCACATCATAATTGGCCTAATGGGTAGGGTGTGTTATCTGTTAGATAATTAGTAGCCATTTTCAGGCGCTGGACTATGAACGAATCTACAAAACCATGAAACACCCGGCATCAATTTTCGATGGTCGCCTGATTCTCGATCAACGCCAACTACGGGAATACGGTTTCCGAACGTTTGCCATCGGCTCCGCACCTGATCAAGCATACAATCTTTTTGGTGTGCCACTTGATTAGGATGTTTTCTGAAGTGCTGTCGAGATCGATCAGCCGATCTCATGAAGACCGTCTACTTAGACATCTCACACGGGCACATCTGCCGCCTTCTGTTCAGAATCTGACTAATAATGCTTGCCTGTTACTATGGTTATTGTGTTTCTAGGAATCATTACATTATCGGATCCCTGATATCCTTGTTATGTCACTTAATTTTTTTTCACACAAAATCTGTCCTTGTTCGGCCGCTTTCACATTTCAGAGCTCCACACTTCATCAGCTTATTGTAAGTAAGTTGGTAAGTATTGTTTAGAAGCATTTGGGATCGCAAACTGTTGGACGTTGTATAGTGTGTGGAGCCCTGCACGCATTCCGTTATTTATATTGCACCACATAATAAAGTTGATTTTTAACTACGCAAGTTAATTGGAACTGGTACATGGAGCTATATTGCCCTTTATATTTGCTTCTTCAAGGTTAAATGTAGTTGATAAAGAAGCTAATTCTATAAGCTTCAGGCATTTCGTTACATATCGCTGCTATTCATTCATTGACCTTTCCTTGAACTAAACAAGCCATGATCACATCCGCTAGCTTCCAAGTTGGGCTAGGTTTACTTTATTTAATGTTACTTTAGATCTTATTCCTTCATTCTTCATCGATCAGGGTAACTTTTTCGGCATGTTCCAATCTCGACTAAAGGTTGCCCAACCCTGTGGTTTCGTGAGTAAATTTGCTGTAAGGTTACTTTACGGGAACGGTTGAGGCCCTTAGAATGCTAGAAAACAGTGAATTCCCAACATCACTTTAGATTTTACCCGTTTTTGACTGCTTAGTCTCGCTGTTTGCCCATACTTGTGAGTTCTTTCATGTTTTTTTTTTGTTTTGATGTGGAAGTTGAGCAAAGGCCCAAGAATGGGAACATGAAGCGGCAGCTATGTTGTCTGAGTAGTGCCTGAGGGGCTCAAAAATTGTAGGTTGAAAATCAATGATAGCGAAGTTGAATCAGTACAAATAAAAAAGTGAAGGGTAGGTAAATAGTGCTTGATTGCTACCTATTCCATCGGCAGAACGAATCTAAATTGCAGCCGTGGCAAAATACTGTGATGACAGCTATAGCAGCGTGCGCCAGCAGCCGTCTTCTGCCAGACACATCGGTCTAGGCCAATCCCGTAGGACCCTTACGTTCAAAAAGTCAACGATATCACTTCGAGCTTTGCGTCATAGAACTTTTACCATTCTCTGTTTTTCAATTAACGGTGTTGAAGATCTAATGATCAAAAGTACAACCTTTATAACAAAATGTTAAATGTAGCAGGCAACTAATAAAGAGCACTAGTGAAGTTTTGCAGTGATTTTCCAGCGAGGATGTGTAAAATATGGTCCGCCGGCATTGTAGAGATGGAATTGAGTGAGTATTTGGTGACCATTTCTTTGATTTAACTCTACTTCCCTGAATACATACATGGAATCGTAGAGCACAAGAATTCCTGATCGTCTCCATCCTACTCTGTTTTGAGATTGTAATCCTAAAGTGAATTTGAAATGGTAACCCTGGCGCACGCCATTGTATGAGACAATTCGATTTGACTTAGATCGAAATTTCAGAGTTGATAACTGCGAATGGTGCTCTGTAGAACAGGTCGTTCAGCGGAATTACTGCTAGTCTAGTAAATTCTTATTGCCTTCTTTACTGTTTCCTATTGGTTCTCTTTGCGGAGAAAGGAGAAATAACAGTAATTATTATATTATAGAATATAATAGGAATCTCCTTTTCTTCATGTGGAACACTCAAATGCTGCCATTCTCAGGTTCGTCTGAGGTAAGTTCGCAGGTTCATTGTCACAGTCTCTATATCATTCCCTGTTGCCGTGTATTCTTACCTTTGTTTTTACTAATGGCCTGCAATGAGCGTCTGTTGTTGGTTTTTTCTGGAACTCATGCGTTCCTGCTACAACTATGGCATAATGCCCAACTATAACTGGATAGCCGTAACCCCTGTTCTTTTACAATCATTTCACAGTTGCAAAATATGCAACTTTGGGTAGTGATTTTGAATTACTTCTATTCATCGATTCGAGCAGATCAGGCTTTCTCTCTACTTCCTTCTTATCAAAAATTCTGGGCAAGGTGCTCATTAGCCTTCACTATATTTTTTTATTTCGTATTATTTTTAGATCGTTAATGCAACTTCCCGCCCCTAGGCTTTTATCACTGGTGCAGGAAGTGGTCACGCCATGTAGATTAAGATTTGGTGTAAATAAAATCGCTCGCACTGTATTCTGGAGACAGCTGACTGTAGTGGAAGACATCTATAGCCGTGGCTTCGACTGTATTATTTCAGACCGTTTTTTTTTTTCTGCAAAAACTAACTACTTACCTACAGTCTTACGAGGTTGAAAAGAAGGGCAAGCCTTATGTGACTGATTTTCGTTGAACAACACAATCTTTGATACCTCCATTTTCGAACTGCGTGAAGGTTATTTCTTCTTCTAGCGGCATGTATGCTGTACGAATTGTTAAGCCTTTGGATATTGAGAATGCCGCTTTCTAGCAAGCCTCGATGTCCAGCTAAGTAAGAAGTGGTAGTGAAAAGAAAACTCTTCCTAAGTAAGTCTTAATACAGCACTAGTTCTGGAGCATGTCGTCAACCATGGGTCACCCGGCCAATTCAGACATTAGGCCGCCCGTCATTTGAATCGATGCTGCCCACCCGGGTAGATTTGTGCGTGATGACATTTTTTAAATTTTTTCCCATTTTTTTCACTACCTCCAGCCTCTCCTCTGTACATATTTCTACTAATTAATGCATTTTTAAAAGAATGAATATTTCTCCATGCCCCTGCGGTAGCACGAAGGGTTTCTGACTTTAAAGTTCATTTAATAGTCACCGGATGGTATTACAACACGTTTGTAACTTTGACGAATAACTTCTTCTGTCTCAGGATCCGAAGCTTCGATAAATAAGTTTTATTCGAGCTGTGGAATTGCTCTCATCGTTGCATTTTTAGAAATTGATCGGGAATATTCCGGTACATTGTGGAGTGTTCCGGTACTTTACTACATGGAGAGATGAGTATTGGAGCCACCAACAGTCATTTATTTGTTTTGAAAACGATGTGGGAATTGTGCCTGAATTCCAATTTTCGAAATAACCATTCTAAACAACATAGAAACTTACCTCCTCCTTACCCATCCATCTTCAACCTGTTCACATCTTCTGAGCAATCGATTCTCATTATATTTTAATTGACAATCCTGAACTTCCCTCTACCATCGACAAAATGGCTATCGTGGAAGTTGAAATTTGAGTTCCTATCGTAAGTTCGATCCGTCTTCGGAATTCTGTGCGACCATTGATTGCAACCACGTGAACTTTGCTCCCATTCGGTGACCAATTTCATTTCCTTTTTGCTGACTGTAATTATTATCATTTTGTTATGCCTTTGTTATTATTTTCTAAGAGTCTTCTACCTAGACAATAACCTGAGCCGGCCTCATTGCATATCGTATTTTCTATTCCCTCAATTGAACTCGCAGAGGATAAATGATCCTTCATAGAAGCTAGATCAGGTTATCAAAGCTGAGTTTTCATCTCAAGCGAGGAGGAGTGGCTCAGCAACGGCACTATAACTCCGCTTTGAAACTTGAAAAAAATTCTTGGAACAGCAGCTCCCAAGGTTTTTTTATAATGGTGACACACCCACGGATAGCAGTCATCTCTTGATCAGCCAATCTTGTAGGGATGAACAATCTGTTCTCCTTAAATGAGTTTTGATCCGGAATTCGATACCCGGATCATACGCATCTATAGTTGCCTCCATTGCCATCGTACCACATCCGCTGAACCGCTTGTTACTGATTTCGGCCACCTGAGATCGATTTTGCTTTAGGACCTCTTTGAAAAAATGATGGCTTTCAAAATAGTTGCCTTGTTGTTATCCATGTAAGTCAAGAAACCATTCAGATATCACTGAGTTTCTGAGTAGAAGTCACTTATAGAACGATCTCTGAACGAGTGTTGAGGCTCTATAGTTTATATGCAGTCAATGTAGGACTTTGTAAGCAACGGTCACGACTCAGAGAGGGTCGCTTCACCAGGATAAGCTATGTATAATTTGAAGAAGAATGAAAAGTCTGGAACAGCATGCGATCTTAGGAATGATGTATGAGCGACGCTTTTAGCTACTAAGATTCCTGTAACGAGTTATAGACTGAAAATCTAAACATTAGAAGCTTTTCTCAAAAACTTCTTCAATAGCTCTTGTAATTATTGTATGCCACCGCGCTCGAAAACCATTCTGAAGGGACCGAGGTCCGTCGGTCGCCTTGCTGTGTCCATTTGATTTTCTTTTCTTACGTCCTCGATTTTTAAATAACTATTGGGATTTTGTTGAATGTATGTGTAGACAGATTCTTTTCATTGTTCTCAAATTTACACTGTAAATCAGTTATTCGTTCCCTTCGTTTTGGTCTTTGGATTTTCTATAAGTGGCTGGATTTGCCATTTCAGTGATCCTTTTCATGACTTCCAATTGTATTTGAAAAATGTGCCATCAATTCGCTTTTTACCTCCTATGTTTCAATCGCTACCTTCTCGAAGTTGTCGCCATTACCTTCGAAGTCTGTTGAGTAGGTAGTGAAAATATGGCCAAACATGGGTTTGCCATTTTATCCAGCTGTCATCAAAGCCAAATAGTAAGGGAGCTAGCTGAAAAGTTCTCTTTTGATCACTTAACCTCTTCATCTTTTTTTGTGCACTGAGTTCTTCATCTATATGGTTATACTGATTTCCTCCATCTGGAAACTATTTCCTGTTTTCATTAGCTCGGTTTGGACTGAAAAAAGGAAACTTTCATTTCTAATTCATCTTACTCTTTATCACAACTTTATGATTATCTGAATTCGTTTTTTTTTTGCTGCTCCGCGTTTATAACATGCCCTTCCTTCTTCTTGT